ACAAAGGGCACGCTCACTCATCCGATGAGAACACCCCAGCCCCGTCCATCGCCCCAACACCACGCCATGACTGCCTCCCGCCCCTCAAACACAGGCTAGCAGCCCGCACCAATGCAACAGACAAACGAGCACGCAGCCACCCATGCACCCGCCCTCGCCCCCTATCTGACCACCCCTGCCTCGTCAACAGCTGCTCAGTCAAGCGGGTGAAGAAGTGCTCCGCCTCCCTCCCCCACACCCCATCGACGGTGACGACCAGAGGGGTGAAGGTCATGGACAGGTCCTCGCAGACGCGCACATGCTTGTTCTTCTTACTGCGCTCGTGCGTCGCCAGGATGGATCGCGTGGGGCGGTTGCCGTAAGAGGGAGCATCAGCGTTAGTAACGCACACGTCGAACGATGCATCCCTCTGGCGGTCCCACACACCTCGGATCACCAGGTCCGTCCTGACCCCCTCCCTCCCCTGCCCATCCCCCTCCTTCAACACCACCTCCTTGTGGACGCTCCCTGCCCCAAAGGCCATCCTGCCGACGTCGCCGATCACGTCCCGCAGCTCGTTGTGCCGCTGTATCACCAGCCCGCCCTTCGCGCAGTCCAGGGCATGGGTGAGGGTGAAGGCACTGATTATTCACGGCACACTGCTCTACGCTCTGTTCAGCACGCAAGCGGCCGTCGCTTTTCTCCAATTGCAATTGCCGAACATTGGTGTCCGATACACGGAATTCGGCGTTTTCTGCTGATTTCTCTCGGGACTCTCATTCATTCGATGCAAGCATGTCTGATACATCGATGTGTCTGCACGCTGGCGGCCATCGCCCTAGTTGCGTAACACAGTGGTCAAGCGAGGTATCGGCTAACGCACACCAAGCACAAAGAGCCTTCACGGAACACGCAAGAGTCTTTTGTCCGATGCAAGGAGGGACAGGTAGACAGAAGGAGAGCGGGCGCTAACCGTCCATCTATCTATCCGCCATTTCGCATTCGCATTCGCATGGCTCTAGGGCGCGTATAACTGTTCTCCAACCTGTGGGCGTATCATTCCGCAACACCCCTCTTCGCACACAGCACTAGGAACCACGAAGCCCTAGTCAAACCCTGAACCTCAAACCCAGGGGTTGGATTCAGCTTCACTCTTCCAAACGTGTGCGTCTGTTGGACAGTCGGAGGACGGCAACCGAGCCAACCCACCAATGAACGGTTCCATCTGGAAGCAGGAGCGGTGCCTCATGTGTACTCTCCCAACCGATGGGTCAGTCACACACAACACACAACACTGTGGGACTCTCTGCTTCCTTAGTCCACCTTGCGCCTCTTTGTCCTATCACTCTTTGATGTCTGACGCTTTCTCTTCTGCCTCTCAGGCTCAGTCGTCAGCCCATCGTTGCTGAGAGTGATGGCGTCGGCTCCTCTCGTCACC